TAATGACCAGGGCCGTGGATGCACCAACATACTGCTGTGGATGCTCTTTCATCAAAATTATAAGAGGCAGAATGGCCTACTAGATGTCAGGGGCAGATCAGATGATACATGTGTTTTATGACCATAAAATATAATGTTCCAATCAAATGATAAATCATGCTTATATGATTTTTATATCTCCGTCTGGAAGGAAAAGAATTACACTTTTTTTTTCCCCCCTCAGACCTTTTTCTTAAAGCAATGCTGATCTTCCTAAAGCTTCGGGGGACTCTCAAACCGTGGACGCCCTGGGTCAGAGACACCACAACTGGGATCGAACTGGCTGGGGACGAACTGGGAGAAGAAGAGGAGGAGTAACAACTTCAAACATGAAGCAGGGTCTGCCCCTGGCTCCAGGCTCCGGACAGCAAAAGTCTCTCTCCACCACACCACTGCCCTTGCTCCCTCTTGGGTCCAAGGGGCAGAGAAGATTGTTTAAAAAGAGAGAAAAGGGGTTTTCTTCATCAATGCTCCCTACAAAATGTGCTGGAGGCTCCAAAGCATTTTGCGCCTCAATTCTGATTATAAAATAAGAACCACAAGAACGATTTCTTGCAGCCAAATATTTTCTATTTGGCTTTCTATTAAAAAATGCATATTATCAGAAGACATTAAGCAACCTGTGTATTTTAACCTCCGTTAATAGACGTTACATATTATTTCTTAAAATGCTAATAATTCATTAGCTAAGTGACAAATGCGGAATCAATTAAATTTTACTAATTAAGTTGGATTATAATGAAGAGAGATGGAGAAGGAAGCATCTGATGGAAAATAGTTTTAAAGAACAGCAACAAAAAGATCATACACGGCTGCACTGTCCATAATGTCTGGTTCCCACGGCAGGTGTGGTTATGACAGTTTCCCTTAAAAACCAACAATAACAGTACCTTAGCAATAAAAATGGTAACTTTATAAAGAGAAGGAAGCCCAAAGAAGGGAATCAACTCAAGTGCATCAGAGATTTACAAAGTGAGGTTTACAGGCTAAGAACACAGTTCACGTTATTTGATGTTGACTTGATAACCACGCAAATTGGAATTGCCACAATTTAATGAAAGTTCCCGTGTGAAACACAAGAAATACAGACCTAAGTGAATTGTGCTTGAGTATGCTAGCAAATGTGAATAAAATGCTCAAGGAAAGAAAAAAAACCCACTGGTATTTCTTACAGAGGTGCTGTGTTCTTACCTGCAATTTCTTGCCCACACTCTCCCGTTCCTGACTGTATTCTGGGCCTCTCATGACAGCCTGGCCTCCTGCAGGGAATGTGCATGCAGCTGTTTCCTGATGCCCCCGAGGGTCATGTTCCCATAAATCAGACGCCCCCATGCTGGACACCATGTATGAAGGAACACGTAACGTATTTCTATAAAGAAGACGGGCTGTGATGTGCTAAAGTCATTTCCACTTACTGAAGGCCATCACGTTATGAAAAACAAAAAAGTCTTTTCACCCATGATGAACAAAATATATTATGTAAAAATAGCTCTTCCCCCCCCCCCATTCAGACTGTCCGGTGGGAATTAAAATACCACCACCCGGATATAGAATACAAGCATTTAAAATGCACAAGGACAGACTAGGGTTGCTACTAAGCCAGTGACCTTCAGCTCCCCAAACATTTATGATTCAGTAATTACCGGATGGTATTATTACTGATGCCTCTGCTGCTTCCTCTCTCTTAGAACCGTCTGAATACAGCGGGGTGAGTGGGATTCTCAGCATCTGCTGGGGGCTACCGTATCCAGTCTGTAGCTGTCTACTCAATCACCTTGAACTTATACATAATGGTATATATTAAACACTACAAAATTAGCAGTTTGGGCCCTTTGGTTTAGATATGCGGCTTTAAATGAAGGTAGTAATTCTTACCATTATTATTACTATAGTCAATAAATACAGATCGGCAAGCCACTGCTCAAAAAGGGATTTCGCGCTTGATTTCTGCTCGTACCAGCATTATATTTTAACCCTATCAGATATTCGATTCAGACACCTGACTTTATTATCCTGAGCTCTCGACTTGTAACCTTGCCTGTACTTTTTACCAAAGCTAGCAGGAGCATCTCATCTGCTCAATTACTTATTAGTGTTGCTATAGAATACCATTTCCTCTTGCGGCTGATAAAATATTAATCAAAAACAGGAACTGAGCGATTTCCCAGTGTAGATGTCTTCTAATGGTAATACAGGGAGTCAAAGAGAAATCTGGAGGTCATATAATAGCTTCTGAAGAAGGCAAAGAAGAGCGACATCGGAGTAGAAGAAGAGATTACAGGCAGAGCTCAGGGGCTGGGTGAGTTATCGCCATTCCGCACCGAGGGAAACTTCCAGAAATGCGAATGGAGGGGACTGGTTCGAAGAAGCTAGGTCTCAGAGACACTCAAAGAATAAAGTTTTTGTTTTTCTGTAATACAGAGTGGGCCTTCAGTAAACCGGAATGCTATCTTGAGTTAACCAGAATTTCTGAGTTGTTGCTCCAACCCTCATATTTCAACTCCTTCCAGGTCTCGTGAATCTACTTCCTGCCTTGCCCAAGACAGCATGGAAAGGACGAGTGAATCTCAGAACAACTTCTCAATATTGGAAAATGCCTTTTATGTCTTCCCTTCTCCTCTGGTCTCCTCTGTGTGGAAAAAACACGGGCCTCAGACATAGACAGCCGCTGGTTTGTAACCCACACTACCACTCACCACAAGGCGACTTGTTGGCAAAGTACTTAACCTCTCCGAACCTCAGGTCCTTGGAAATTTGCATAATTTGCTGTGGGTTTCAAATGCTCGCTTTCCCCATCTCCAATACCCAAACTATATACACATCAATAAAACACAGACAAATATCCACATCCCCTACAAACTAACCACCACCAGCCACACACACACACACACACACACACACACACACACACACACACACACCAGTTTTCAGAGATGCAGAATTCAGGGTAAATTGCATTTTCATGTGGGCTTATTATATTTTAAAAAGTGACGTTCTGGGGCGCCTGGGTGGCGCAGTCGGGTAAGCGTCCGACTTCAGCCAGGTCACGATCTCGCCGTCCGTGAGTTCGAGCCCCGCGTCGGGCTCTGGGCTGATGGCTCAGAGCCTGGAGCCTGTTTCCGATTCTGTGTCTCCCTCTCTCTCTGCCCCTCGCCCGTTCATGCTCTGTCTCTCTCTGTCCAAAAATAAATAAATAAACGTTGAAAAAAAATTTTTTTTTAAATAAAAAGTGACGTTCTTTTATTTTTTTAATGTTTATTTATTTCGAGAGAGAGAATGAGAGGGGAGAGAGAGAGCAGGGGACAGACAGAGAGAAAGGGAGAGGGAGAATGCCAAGCAGGCTCTGCACTGCCAGCACAAAGCCTGATGTGGGGCTCGATCTCACAACAGTGAGATCATGACCTGAGTATACACAGTTGGAAGCTTAACAGACTAAGTCACCCAGGTGCCCTGAGGTTTTTTCCCTTAAAGCATTGACTCAACACTACCTAATACTTTGAGAAGAACTCTTTAAGGTAGGCATCTTAATAATACCAACAAAATAATTGGAAAACCAATATGATGACTCCCATTCTCTGGGTAACACTTATTCAGAGTCTGTGTTACATATACTAATACATTTAATCTATTAACCTGTATGACAGCCCTGTCACACAAATAGAAGAACTCAGTCCAGTTTTTAAAAAGGAGGCCTGAACAGCAGATGGATGACTCGCCCAATCTTGCTCGGCCGGTAGACAGTAACACCAGAACGTGAACTTGGACCGTGCCTCATAACTAGCTCTGTCTCTCCCACATTCCCCCAGGCTGGTTTCCCCGGCAGCATCTCCATCACAGGCCATTCTTCTCCATGAAAAAGTTCTGTTCTACAAAAAACAGGAGCCAACGGTAAGCTAGCTACTTTCTAATACCGGGTGCAAAATAGGTGTGCATAACTTGTGGCCTTCCCACCTGCTTCTTCATCCCCAAATATTGGAATCCAACAACTTCCAGACATTAAAATCAATTAATACTGTGCTATGCTGGTCAAATGACTCTTTTTAATGTGCGTTCTCTTAATTACCATCCACTTTTACATCTAAAAAATTTGCTCTCAGTTGACTGTTTCTATCAAGATTTTTGGCTCTCTTCAGCACAATCCATTAGATTGATAAAAATCCATTTTACAAATGTAGAGTCTGGCCCAGCAATCCCACACCTGGGAATCCATCCCACAGAAATAAAAGCATCAGTCTGACTATGAACAAAGATGCTCATTGTCTCCCCACTTGAGGCCAGGTGGGAGCGCAGGCAGAAACCTTTAGAATCCAAATGAACGCCCTTTAACACATTCAGTATGCAGAAGAAGTGCATGAATCATGGTATGTCTGCATCATGGAATATCATGCTATAGTCGGACGAGAAAAGAAAGATACAGAACAGCATGCAAAGAAGGAGTCCGTGTGCAATCAAGCAAAACTACCAGAAAGGTGACCTCTCAAAAGCCCCAAATACATATCTGGATGTATATGTGCGTGTACACCCATACGTAGGAGACACATAAAATACGAGGGTAAAAAAATCTTTCGGAAGGCACTTATGAAATTGCTAGTATGTTTTACTTTAGTTAGTAGAGGGGTTGGGTGCGGGGAGGGGGAGACACAGAGGGTGGCGTAAAGGCAAAAAAATGATAAAAACGAGCATCCTAAGGTTGAATATTCACACAACAAGGCACTTACTGCTAAAAATAAGAAAGAGTAAGAGAAGAGCCACGTGGCCCTCACTGTACCCTACGTTTACAGAAGCATTTTAACGCTTAAAACTTTTCATCCTGGGGCGCCTGGGTGGCTCAGTCGGTTAAGCGTCCGACTGCGGCTCAGGTCGTGATCTTGAGGTTCGTGAGTTCGAGCCCCACAACGGGCTCTGCGCTGACAACTCAGAGACTGGAACCTGCTTCGGGTTCTGCGTCTCCCTCTCTCTGCCTCTCCTCTGCTCGTGCTCTCTCTCTCTCTCTCAAAAATAAATAAGCATTAAAAAAAACAAAACCTTTTAATCCTTACAATTTGATGAGGTCAGTTATAATGTGATCCCCATTACATGGGTGAGACAATGGAGGCATAAGAGCCACGCAGCTAGTAAGGAGAGCTGAGCAGTCTCACATGAGACACAACAACCCTACGTATGATCTAACTGGTGAGATTTAACTGGAAAGACGACTAAGCAAAACTTGGATTTAACCAGTTTGCTGAGTGGTTTGAAACTCAGCACAGCAGACAGTGATAGCATTGTCAGCTGATGCCTGCTCGGCGCAGCGACCTCTTCCCACACTCGGGAAGGGCCAGGTAGGACTCACAGGCCACAGAGCAGCGCGAACGTGTCCACTGAAAGCAGCCACACCGGGGACGCAGTCCGTCACCGCCGCCCTATTGAGGACAGTCCTGTCTTGAAGCCAAAGCCTTGCTGGACTCGGGCAAGGGACACATCTCTCTGAAGGTAGGGACACACTCATCTTTTGACCAGATCCTTCTTCGTGGCCAGTGGGGATCCGTATCCACTTCTCTGCAAAGCACTCCTGCCAGGGTGGGGGCTTGCCAGCTGCAGCCGGCCACTGTCCCCCTAGGGTCTGACACAGAGCCTGGTACATAGTGGGCATTCAGTAAATACCTCTTAAATGAATGAAACCTAGGTGCTCAGGAAACATGTGCCATTAATACTAAAATGATAAGTCTCTACCGTGTAAAAATGGAAAACTTACTCCTAAGGAACTGTGTTTTATATAAAGATAACATGAATCACAATAACTACAGCAGAAACAGCAATGCCAAGTATCACATATTAAGCTCCTATTTAACAGGCACTTCTAGACCCTGTATGTATATTGCATGTGAATCTTACAAGAATATCGGAAAGTACCTATTATTATCTGTTCCCAGGCAACCTGAGGAAAGTCTAATTACCTGGTTCAAGGGCAGACAGCTAGTAAGGAAGGCACTGGGACTCAAACTCCAGACTCTTCCTTCCCTTTTCACTCTGTCTCCAAGCTCTGCACACATATGCTCACTCACTAATACAATTAAGACTAAATAATAAGGTATGCTAGTCACTTCATTTAAAGTTAGGCACTCAGAACAAGAAGCGGGGCGGGGGAAGCTACACAACACGGTTCTTAATCCAAAGTAAAGCAAACCCAAAGCAAATTAAGCAGAACCGTAATGTGACTTGTGTTTGCCTTTTGACACCTGTTACAACATGTACTCGGGGCACAGGCTTCTCCAGCCGAACCTTCTCCACTTCCAACAGACAAGAATCACAGAGCGTGCTGAGGACGCTTGACAGATGTGTTAATGCAGGGGGATATTTCAGTTTCCATCCTCTTTGGACCACAGCATGACAGTTACAGAATTCAAATCCATTTGTATCCCCCGTTGAATCCCACATAATTCAGCAGACATTCATTATGGTGACATAATGATATCACACAGCCATAAATACATATGCTAAGAGTCGAACAAGACATTCATATTTAAACATAGCTGGAAATAATTTCAATTCCGGCGATTTTCTATTGCTCATTCTATTACTTTTCAGTGGATGCTTAAAATGTTAAAATACAGTAGGAAACCAAGAATACAAGAATGAAGGGGTGTGTGTGCGTGTGTGTGTGTGTGTGTGTGTGTGTGTGTGTGTGTCATAGCTTCTAGTTTGGCAGGTAAAGGAATTTGGGTATCACGTTACATCTGATAAATATTTTGTTTGAGGAAAAGGTAATTTAATAATAGATGAGAAGCTCCTTGATATGTCAATTTCAGAAGAATCATTCACGTTGCTATAGATGCAGTCCAACATTTTAATATTCTGAGATCTCTGCTTCAAATCTGAAGGACGGTTGCCCTGATTTCATAAATAAGAAACGCACGTAACACTTTTCCCACATAACTTCGAATAATACATAAAGCAAACAAATAATGCAGTTAAAATTAAAACCCCTTGAAATTCACCATTCCTAAAGAGGGGTGAAATTATTTCTCAAGAAATCAGACCCATGCCTCCAGAAAGCAGCAAGCGGGGAACTCAGATATCATAACACGAATAATGACAATGTTAATCTCGATCTTTTCCTCATACTTCTCAACTGCAGACAGAAGAACACGTCTTCAGCCTCGATGATATATCCATTAACAGCTCTCTTCCCAGAGTATTCAGACACCTTGCAACGGATTTTTGAATTATTTAAATGGAAGTGGCATTAGAAAACCCTCATGTTTAAATTATGCTAAATAAGTATTCTTTCGGCTGGACTTCTGCCTGTGCAAAAAAACATATACTCTGCAGGCACGGAGGAAGGGGCACAGAGGAATCTGAGGAGATGACGTGATGGAGAACGACGTTTGGGGAACACGAGTGCACATACAAGTCAAGTGTGCAGGACAGTCTCGATATCCGGACGTTCTCGAGGGAACAGGAGTCTGTCAGTTTACAGAGATGATGTCAATTTTCTCAAATGCTTCCAAATGTCCAGAAAGCTATGAACATGAGAATGTAAAGTAGATGGAGGTCCAATTGCAGTAAATCATAGAATATCCACACTATGGAATATTATGCAGCTATTAGAAGAAATGAGTTAGCTCTTTATCTGCTGACCTGGAGGGACGTCTGGGATGTATTGGTCAGGGAGATAAGCAAGAGGCAGTGCAGGGTACATGCGGGGGAGGGTTCTCGTAAAGGCAAACAGAAAACCTTCCCTACGTTTGCAGCAGATGTCCCTTTAAGGACAGAAGAGCTCAGAGAAACTCCTGGTGGACTGTTAGCCATGGTCAGTGGGCTACGGGGACAGCTTGAGGACTGCAGGAAGAAAGGGCGATGGCATGAACTTTTTTTTCTTGCTATTCATTAGCATGGTGTCACAGATTATGGTAAGCACGTGGTATTATTTAATTTGTAAAAAAAAATTTAATGAAAGAGAGGGGGGTTGGAGGGCAGGGAGGGAGGGAGGGAGGGAGAGAGAGAGGCCTATCAAAGCAAAAATTTCCTGCTGGGCAAAGATGGTTCACCATCAGGAGTCTTTTTATCTTGCTGGGATGCCAAGACTGGTGTTTTATTCTTTTCTCTCTCTCTCTCTCTCTCTGTCTCTCTCTCTCCGTCTGTCTCTCTCTGTCTCTGTCTCTCTCTCTCAAGCGAATGTGCTGACTTACTTGTGGGAGGATACTTTGCCCTCTGCAAAGCCACCTTTATGGAAGAATCTATTACTGAAGAGCTGAACGTGCAGGCATGGGGGAGTCTGGCAGGTGAGAAGGCAGGTGGCCGAGGGAGACTGGTGGGGAGATGGGGAGACACCATGATGTGATAGGGTGCATGGATGCCTTCCACCTCGCCTAAACACTACCGGGTCTGGCCAGAGATGGAGCCTGACTGGTGTCAACAGAGGTCTTCAGAGAAAGGCCACGTGCAGATCATCGTCCCTCCCCAGGGGAACTTCCAGCGAGATGAATGAGAGGCCAGATAAATCATGAAGATCTACAGGTACACATACAGGTACGGATACAGATATACCAAGAGAGCTGGTGTTTAATGCCAGTGCTGCTTTCAAATGTAAATATAACTGCATTTAATTCAGTACGTGTTTACTGAGCTCCTACTATGTGCCTAGCCTTACGCTTTTTATGGAATTATCTTAAACTTCCCACACGATTTGAGGCGGTTTTCTTTCTAATTATGAAAGTGACAAATTCATTACAGGAAGCGGTCAACTACAGGAAGTTTTTTGTTTGTTTGTTTGTTTGTTTTTGGAAATGACAAAATTGCCTCTGATTCTCAAACACAATGGCCATCTTGTTGTGCGCTATATTTCCAGGACCAGCACGGTGAGTGGCACATAATCGATATCTCATCAATACCTGTTGAGAAAAGGGAGGCAGGCAGCAAACTTACAGTAACGTTATTTATGTAAATCCATTTTCTATGCCCATATTTTTATATAACAAGGAAATTATCCTGTGCCTGTTGTTTTTTAAATCACTCGTTCCACTTAATAATATATAACAATCCTTGTTACTTTTTAGTTCCCTGCACTGCTCTTTGCCTCCACACATGGAAAAAGAAAATTAGTGAAAACACGCCAAGAAGAAACATTTCTCAGGTCTGAGAGTGAACTCACAAGCTGTTTCCAAGCAGTTGTACACGCACACACTCAACGGCAGCTGTTGCACATAATTAATGTGCTAATTATACGTAATTATCTAATTACTAAAGAACAAAGTCAAAGCAAGCGCGGTAGTAAAGACACCATAACCAGTTCCTTTTAGAATGCTCTACAATATAGACTAGATTGCTGTTTGTGAAAAGTACTCTTTTTGTCTGATACCTGTAAATAGAGAAGAGTCTTCCTAAATGCTTCCTAAATGCTTCACTCCTAAAAGAGTGAAAAGTACTCTTTTTGTCTGATACCTGTAAATAGAGAAGAGTCTTCCTAAATGATGTTATGGAATGGGGGATTGTCAGTCATTCCATTAACAGAATTAAAAATACACACACACACACACACACATATATTTTACATGAAGAAAAATGTGCCATATGATTCATCTGGATAATGTGGTGTGAACGGGGACCAGCAACAGAGTGCTGTGCTGAAAGCAAGTTTTCCAGTGGATGTTCCAAAGTAGGCTGGTCCCACAGTATGATCATATGGGGGAAAAAAGTGGAAGCTGAGTGGTAAGATGTTTGGAAAACAATATTCATCTATCCCCTGGATGTTCCATTTAAGGCTGTCCCATAAAATATAAAAAAAGGGTGGGGGTGGGTGACAAACGATGGAGATATAAGTTTGGAAAACACTATCATTCCTTCCCCTTCTTAGAGAGGTAGAAAACACATTTGCATTTAAAAGGCTCTGATAAGTACTGCATCTGTGAAATAGTTTTGACCACAGATCGCTTCTTTTTTCACTCTCGGTATTATAAATGTCAGTGTAATTAATAGACAACCCAAGTGCAAGGTCAGGCTGTACTATTTTACTGCCTCCACTGGATCATTGATTCACCCTACAGGGAAACTTCACTTTGAATTTGAACCAAGGTCTCCGTCCAAAAGGAACAACCTCACAATAAGATATACTTGAGAATCTAAAACAGACTCTTGGATGAGCCCCAAGAAGCATTATTTTCTACCGATGGCTTCTCTCGGAAACATACCGACTAGGTCTGAAGATGCTCTATCTTGACATTTAGGTGCTAGGACCAAACAGTTAAATCTTTTATCACACGTTACCCACAGTATTTCTTGAGAATGTTAAAGGAGCCACGTTGCAAGAGAACGGTCTCCTATACTCACAGAGAAGATATAAATTAGCATCTCTGGAGTGTGAGTTATTTTATTAACTTGTTCATTCATACCCTGTCTCCTTCCAAAAATGAATCGGGGCATCCTTTTGGTTTTTTTGTTTTTCTGTCTTTAATGCTACCATCAAAATTCAATGGGCCTTGACAAATGGGTGAAAACACAAACTAGGTGAAGCCTCCAAAGGCACATCTTCATTACTTTTATTATTTAACTTTAACTTTTAATCTTGGGCCATAAAAACTGTCCTAATAAAAGATCCATAAATATCTCCTGAATGTGCAAAGGAGCGACTTTGATGACCTGAGAACATATGCTGGGCTCTTTTTTGCTGATGGGCCTGAGTACTTATGACTGCCTGGGTTGTAACACAGAGAAAGATGTAGGTCTGGACCCCTCCAGCAAATGATTCCAAACAGACCGCTGCATCAGGAGGTAGATGGAACTGTTGCTGGTTCCATTTTAAAATCGTGCTTCCAAACGAATGACACAAAACCTCCTTCGCTAATTTTGAAGTCAGCTGGGGCAGATTTTCACGTGGCTAATTCGACGTTTCAAAACTTAATCGTCTGCCACGGATGCGGTTGTGGCGTGATGGCCTGAAATGGGGGGGGGGGGGGGGGGTTCTCGCAAAAGTCCCACCTAGAAATCTCTGGTCACCCAGCCTCGCTTTGCACACTGCAGGGACTCCGCACACGTTTGCTGTGTGAAGGAATGAACGCGCTCCGTCTGAGTGCTGCTTTTTTAAACCCCATTTCTAAGCATGCTTCGGATTCGAACGTTAATACGGTTAATTGCCAAATAAATAGTTCCAGATTGTAAAATGGGTTTTCCTGAACAGATTTAATTCAACCGAACAACACATTTTTTAAAATTGAAGACATTCAAAAACTCAACGTTATTCTTCCCTCAACCCTTTTCCAAATTGAATTCCGAGAACGGATATACCTTTAAAATTATATTATCATCACAGTGCATTTCTGCGTGAACAATACCTAAGGACAATGGCTTTTCTAATGTGATGCATAAATGCAAGTTTACAGGAACCAGCAATTTCTTTTATTAAATGTTGGGATTTTTTTTTTTTTTTTTTTCACGTATATGGCTTCTTCCCCCTTTTCTGTAACATGCTATTCGGAGGAAACACTCTAAGGCCGTGATAGTTGATTACACTATCTTGATCGCCATTCTTTTTCTAGCTTTCTTAAATTAGATGCAAGGAGCATTTCTAAGTTTAGAATGTTGGATAGAATACCCTGCGTTCGAAGCCAGTGTTCCTAAAACTCTTTTATTTCTTGCGCCGGGCAAATTTTCATGCAACTTCTTTTCATATGCAAAGTGGATCTATGCAATCCCATCTTACACATTCAATGGAGAAGAATGTGTCAGGAGAAGGAGCCCTGTGTTTTAGCACGAAACGAATAATCTGTCATAAACAGCATGCTGTATTTAATATTCAGATCAAGACATTTCTGTCTCATCCGAGCAGACCCTCCTGACAAAAGCCATCCCACTTCGGCCAGGAGTATCGAGTCCAGCTGAGGACAAATTTCCAGATGAACCTGAAATCAATTTGCCATCAAATTTTCATGCCTCTCCCAGACTATCTGTGGCATTTTAATTACAAGCACCCTAGGCGGGGGGTACTACAGATATTGACACTTTGCTCCTACAATAAACTTTATTGGCAACCTCTGTCTGAAGGCAGTACTCAACTAGAATAACAAGAAATACATGAGGGTGTGTAAGCGGAGAGGACTGTGATCACCCTGAGGCCATCCCCTTCACCGGACCAGGGCACTTCTTAGGCCACAGGCCGGGGACATACAACACCTGGCTCTCGCGAGGACAAAGGACCTTCAAGTTCGACGTGCCTGCGGTGTCCTTTGAGCTCTGCAAGGTCCCTGGGTCCTTCCCCACAGCACAGCCACAAGTCTTCTCCTTCCCTGTCTGTGCTCGGGTGGCTATTTCTGGTGCGCATCATTTCGGAGCTCTCCGAAGGTTTCAAATCTTTGTTGAAAGGTCAGGGAGTGTGAGCAGAAGCCGTCCCTGTAAACTGTGCTGAAAGGCTTCACTTCAGGGAACAGACGAAGCCCCTGACTGTATCTGGAGACAAGGCTTGTGTTTGGGGGCGGCGGTGGGGTGACCAGCCACCTCCACATTCGTGACACCCATCCCCTGCCTCTGCCCGACTTCTGAATGAGCTGTGGGAAGAGCCATAAATATCAAAATAAAGCGGAGGACCCACAGTTTGCTAGCCGTGGAATATTTTTACCCTCTGAAAATTAACATCCTGGGACTACAGACGTGCAGCTTTAACCAGGTGCATAGGGCAGCCCACGATGCAGGGGGAGTCCGGTACCAGCACATACCATCTTGCTCCCCCCGACGGTGACAGGGATGGATGACAGCCCATGGCCACTGCCGGCTGGGCGGCTCTGGGCCAGGCACCGGGGCGGGCAGGTGTGCGCGTGCCATTTCAACGACTCCTCACACACTTCCAGAAGTGAGCAGCCGACCTAAGTGAGCCAGTATTCTGGTAAATGCTCAACAGCTCCAAAAATGAAAGCACGCATGTGTAAGCACACATGCGTTCGTTTATCATAAAGCCTGCCGATAGAAAGGAAGGATGCTGGAGAGGAATTTGCAAGTAAAAATACACAATATTCTTTATTACAAAGGCCACGGACCCAATTGATTCTCACCCAGTGCTTTCATTGATTTTTGCCGAACTCTTGAATCCACAGGCAAGTTGCAGGTGATGAGTAAGTGATGTCTGATATGAATATCGGTTGATATTTTTCAGTTAGCCGGTAAGACGAAAGGGGAACAATCAAGAGAGACGTACCTTGGAACTTTATTCATTCTTCAGGGGCATCAGCAACTTCTTTGCTGAATTAGGTAACAGGTTTTTCAATATACGGAAGGAATACATCCTCACTTAAAAAATAACATTCATAACGTAATGATTACAGACAAGGTACTTAAATGTGAAATGCATTATGAACGTTGCGATTACTTTGCCAAGCCAAGATGATCTAAACAAAACGCCTGAAGCCTTGATTTGTAGTTTTTGCCAATTTCCGTGGTGTAAATGCTCCCGACCACAGCCGCTTTCAGGCTCTCCGGGGGAAGTCACTGAACGCAGGGCTGTGGAGAGTCGAGCGGGTGCGTTCCATTCTAGAGTGTTCCTGCCATACGGAGACAAACAGATCTCAGTTGACCTCAAGAGCACAGGCAGTTAAAGTCAAAGGTGGTAAAACGACCAGGAAGTATGGAGCTTTGAGTATTTAATAACTTTGTTTGGAATGTAATTTCTTCAACGGTACGTTTACACAATTCGAGGTTTAACAGTGTCCACGTTTAACGAGCGGGTCACGCAATCTCTGCCAGTTCCGGGAGTCCGCAGAGTCCTGGGTCGACGTGAGGGGAGGGCTCCAGTGCACGCTGGAAATGGTGCCAGCTTCGTGCAGGCACACAGACGCACGCACACCCTTTTGGGACAGATCGTGCTGACAAAAGCCGCTTATTGTTCTCTTCGACAGGGAGAAACTCGTGAACACAGTCGGGAGGTCCGTGACGGAGAGGTAACGGCAGCCGATAATTAAATAGCTGCGTTCCTGGAGACCAGGTGGGCTTGACAGAGACAAAGGAGACAGTGGGAAGGGCACGGGCCCCTTCTGACAGGAGAACAGCAGCACGGACACCAGCCCTGCCGAGAGAGGTCCACGGCAGCCGCAGCAGCAGCATCCACACTCTGCTTTCTCCCCACCTCCACCGGGACCGCCGGCTTCTCTGCTGTTCCCACGACACGGAGGCCGTGGCCAGCTTTCCAGGGCTTATGGGAGATGAGCCACGTTATTACGATCTGAGTCTTGCTGTTGCTTCCGAGGCAAAAACGGATGCGGGACATAAACACCAGGGCGGGCACAGAGCCTGCCACAAGAGACAAGACACCCTGATGTCGGGGCAGAGTTGGCCAACCCTGGTCCTGGGAGCACTTCGCTGTGTCCCAGTTCCAGGGCTGGGTCGTCTTGTTTTGTCCGAACAGGTGAGAGCTCAGAGGGCCCCCCACGCCTTATTAGGCGAGGTGAGGCTCTGGGACAAGTGGCGGAGGCAGCTCAGCTTCCTGGGCACCTGGGAGTGCCATCAGCAGCCGACAGCACAGCCAGACGGTGTTTCCCCTACAGCATTATCATTCAAACGTGCCCCAAACAGTAGTGCACATAGATCACGAAGGGCAATGCTGATTTGGCTACAAGCGGCACCAGGACATTTCTCCAAGGGCTCCAGGGGGGTGAGGGTGGCAGACGTGGGAGACATTGATGTCCTGTGCTTCTTCCTCAAGGCAAAGATCCCTAATACGACAGGCTCGGGGCTTGTCCGCATGTATTTTCAAAACATAAGAACACAGACGGCTTTTTATGGACAAACCGGACCAGAAGTATTCCAAAGCGTTCCCTAGAAATGCTGGGGCTGTAAAATATCTGCGAGATATAAAATAGAATATCCTATCACTTGTCAGTAACATGGTTTGTTTGTTTCCTTTTCTTCCCTTTTTTTATTTCTTCTCCCTGAGTGTCAGTTGCTTAAAATGAACATCAATGTTTCCAAGGCATGGTTTACATTTTGAACGTGGAGTCTATGGTGCTTGGCTTTATATATTTATTTGTATTTGTATTTATGTGTGGCCATTAATCTTGTCTTTAAAAAGAGAGTTGATACAGAGAAATCACTCGTGTTCTCTCTCGTCCATGGTCCATGTATGCTGGTTCTGACTCTTTTCTTTCTTTTGCTCTCTGTTGGTTGGATATAAAAACACTACCAACGTCGATCACTTTATCCCGAGCCAATGTTGCCTTTGCTAGAAAGATCTTGCTTCTCCAGTGTTTACAGAAACAGCACAGAGTGGAAGGACCTAAAAGAAGTGGGGCTTAGCATAAAACAGGCCCTGGGGAGGTAATATTAACCAACACAGAACCTCGAGCAAGGGCAGACATCTAGTGGCCTTTCCACCAGGCCGGTTTCGCCGGGTCCCAGCATGAGGCATGTGCAGGAAAGGCACACAGGCTCTCCCCCTGGCCCCTAAACCTTTCGGTGGGTGGACGCGTGTTGGGAGATTCTCGCTGTATCTTCTGGGGGGGGGAGGGGATAAAGGAAGGATGCTCAGACTCTCTTTCCCTTTCCATGGTCTCTTCTCTTTCCTCGGGTTGAAAGAGAAGGATAGAAGCATACACAAGCTACTCTTCATTTCAGGGAGGGGCTAAGTCACCGACCAGATCTGCTTCTGAGGCAAAAGCGATACAGGATGTCAGCATGTGCCAAGAACGCGTTTGGGCACGGGGCCAGGACAACACAGCCCGACCGTCTACAGGGAGAGTGGGGAGGCCAAGTTATGATTGGAGGGTGGCCTCCTGTCTCCAAAGGAGCTTTTTCACAGCAGCCACGCCTCCAGAACTTGAGGCCTGTTGCCTCTCTCTCTGGGCAGCCACCGCTGGGCCAAGTGACCATCTTTTGGGCACAGAGCTGCTTCCAAGAGCCAGCAGAAGGCCCAGCAGTGTAGCGGGGTCTGACCGGACGCAGTGTGCCCTCCCTCTGGATCATTCCTCTCCTCTGGAGCTGAGCCAAGGAAATGTGGGTTGCTGAGCCAACCCCCCGCTTCTCCCTCCAAATCACATTGCTCACGATTAGGGAGAGAAAGGCCGAATCTTCCTCCGTGGCCCCGGAGCCCTCTCCACCCACTCTCTATACAAAATCAGTTCATCTGGGTAATTTTTAAAGCACAGAGCTTGGGCCAGCTGGAACTAGCTGCCTCTTCCTGGCCAAACGCTTGGGGTTTCTTCCAGCCTCGAGCCTACGTGCTCCGTGTGCTAGCAAGCACCCCGAGATACGGCCAGGACTGGGAGCGAGGGATTTGCTAACCAGACTTTCCAGCAACTTCCTGAGTTTGGAGCAAGCAGAAAGCCTTATTTGTTGGTGAAGCTGCTCGGCCCCAAGAGGCAGGTCACTGAGCTCTGCAGCCAAGCATTCCAAGTCTCCGAAACCCGGGAGGACCTGGGTATCCAGCACTGGACCAGGCTCTCTGGCTGCGTAGGCCAAATCTGTGTCCTGCCCCTTAAAAAAGTAAGATGATTTTCATGGGGAAACAGATTTGCTTTATTTGCTTTGCTCTCTTCCAGCTCAGAAGTGACCTGAGCACTGCTGAGAGGGCCTGGGGGACCCTGGCTTTATTCTAGAAACTAGGCTAGTTAAATAAGGCATTGTCAAGCCAGGAGCTGCCTTGGACTCTTGGCAAGTGTGTTAACTCAGTATGAAATAATATAAACAGAAAAGAACAATATTCCCTGTTTTCTCACTCCAGGCTGGGGCTCAGGAATCATTTGGGATGGGCCAAAAGCTTTCAAAAGTAAGTTCTGTGGATTTCAAAGATCTTTAGCTTTGAAGATCTAAGGGGGGGGGGCGCCCCCCCCCCTGCCTGGTGGGAGGGTTCCAAACGGTACCTATTGTGCTTTGGGGGCTCAGAAAAATTCAGCAACAACAACAGTCCTGAGTGAGGAGAAGGAATTGTATACAATACACCATTTATCTCCTTTCGGGCACAAAAACATACACACAAGCATATACAAAACCACATACCATGTACACATTCTTCGGGGGCCCCTGCAAATCTTCCCAGCCATTATTCATATTAATGAATGTGTGTTTGGTTTCCAAACTGCTCAGCTTAAGCATTGGAGTTGAGATGTTCTAGGAAGTAAATAAACCAGCTGTGCCCGCCACAGAGGGCCCCGAGTGGGAACGTCCAGCCCCTCTGAGGGGAGGGTTCCATGCACACGGCGCAAGCCTGCATGCTTCGGACCAGCCTCACTTCTGCACTCTGCAAACTGGAATTAATTCTTCCAGCCTCCCCGGTTCACAGAGATGTTCCGAGGAGGAACTGAGTCGTATTGCATAAACTCTGGGTGCGGAAGGGGAAAAGAAAATACGGTATTGCTAAACCACTGTCACCACTGCCCCCATTTCGGGGAGCAGCCAGTGCTTGGAGTGTTTAGAAAACAACAAGGCCACACCACATTCCCCATGCCGTATGAGTCCGGGGGAAAAAAAAAAAAAAAAAAAAAAACTGTGAGAAGAAACCGGGAACAGGATTTGAAAATCTGTACAGAGAGTCTTAAAAATCCGACACAGAGGGATGCATTCTCAGAGAACCACCACCTTGCTGATAACTATTGGTTCATAAAATAATTTAATTTACGTATGTGAATCTTCGAGAGTACTTTTCTCATAGGACTTCCTTTAAGAAAAACAATCTTCTTCAGTTCACTGTTCTTAAACGCACCCCCCACCCCCTTCAGGGAGACTTTATTCTCTAGACTTGCCAAAGAGCTGTTTCCTAATACATCCTAGAGAATATATGATTTCATTTTTCCACAGATGCATTTCTATACACCTGGTATTTCAGTTATTTATTAACCATGCCTAGTTTTGTGGTTTCTCGCTTTATATCTTTAAAGTCATTAAAACTTAATAGGGGAATTAATCATAAAAGAAATCTATCAAACACAGTTGCCAAGCACTTTTTTTTCCTGACTGACATCTTTAAAATGTATTTGAATGTTATTTATTTCATCACACCCAGGGAATTAAAAAAAAAAAAAATAACTTGCAGCCTCCAAGTTCAGAGAAAGCATAAAAATGTGATTTACTATTTATTGTACAGTTAGGCACATGCATATTATATATTGCATGTTAATCTTCAACTGGCTAAGTTTAGCAAATTTGACAACACTACTGTTTGCTAGTGAGGAAAAAGAATCGACATCTGTTCTCTTCCAGATATGATTTCTTCCTGGAAGGAATCAGAAAGACGTCCGGGCCTTCTATTTTCTGGGTAAACTGATAGAATGCAAGCCGTTTAAATGGACAGTCAAGCCACAATGCCCCCTGGTGGTGAAATAATGCACAAACATTTGTAAGCGGTTGTGCCTCCTGAGTATTTTTCAGAGACCTCATTTTTAATGATGTGGACGTTTTCTTTTAGTTTTGCAAATGCAAATGCAAACAATATGGGACAATGATGTTGTTTTAAATAAAAAATAGTCACTGTGTCAAATTAAAGGACTATTTAGTTTGTCTAAACCACCTTGGTCAAAGTTGTTTTTTTTGTGTGTGCTTTGTTTTGTTTTCACAATAAGGGATTAGATTTCAATTTCACACTGAAGAACTGGAGTATTGGAGAAAAACAAACAGAACTGCAGCATATGTACTTTTCAAGCTAAGTTTACAAGAGTGGAACTGTCAGCAGATACTTACAGGTGGACCTACGGGTCTGTTAGCTTATTGTCGCTTGAGTTAAAATGGAATGAGAGCAGATTCCAGATTTTGCTGGGGGACTCAAGACTCCATCTTCCCATCATGCTCTCAGCATGCACCTCTGATAAGCGGCTTAAAGGGAATTTCTTCGGGTCAGACATAAATAGTGATTCTCGGGTTCCCTTAATCCAGACACACATCGCTTGTGAGTTGGGCCTCATAAATCTCACAAACGGTCAGCAACACATGAAAGGCGATGTTGTCAGGAGGCTCCAACACATTAAATGGGAAAGTCTGAAATGCGGACTCATTAATCATACAAACAATACTGACGCCTCGCAGTAATCGAGGCAAGCGGCACCTTCCTTTCTCAGCAAGCAGCTCCTTTTACCTCTTGCTATCTCTAGAAGCAGGGAGGCCCAGGACAGGAACTGTCACTGCATTCCCTTGTCACCTGAGAAGACGAGCCATCAACAGTTCAAGGTCATGTGGCAGGTGCTGAGTCACCCAAGAACCCTGGTCCCCCCACCTTCCAGGGCTGCCTGCTTTGCTAGTAAGGATTTGTTTTGAATGCAAAACATTTCAAGCCACTTCCCTGATGTCATCAAGATATACCAGGAAAGGATACTGTGGTATCCTCAGGCTTATGGATAACACGCCCAGGGCAGCCTTAATCATAATAGCCAGAAAACGCAAACAACTCAAATGTTCATCAGCTCATGAACAGATACATAAAATGTGGTATATCCCAATGGTGGAATATTATTCAGTCTTGAAAAGAAACAAAGTAGTGACACAGGCTACCGTGAGGATGAACCTCGAAAACACTGCGCTAAGTGCAAGCAGCAA